AATTTTTACATTCATTATTGTTTTTAATAACTGAAGAGATGTAATATATAGTAGTTATTTATTAATGAGGAAATAACTTCTAATATTGCTTAATAATTTATTAAAATGTACGTGTAAAGAAAAATGTCTGGCACAAGGGAAACGGGTTATAATTTTTTTTTTAAGTAACGAGTTACAAATTGATCAAACTTAACACAGTTCCAACTTTATAATTGGTAATGTACTGGTGTAATTACTAACCTTGTTACACTCTTGAAGACCCTAGTTCTTGAAGCTCCGAAATATCATAACAGATCTATCTGAAGAGTTGATCAAAAGCTAATGGCAGAGCTAGTCAGTGAGGGTACCCTGCCCTCTTTCCCTCACTAGCTAATGGCTGAGCTAGTCAGTGAGAGAAGTGCCCTGCCCTCTTTCCCTCACTAGCTAATGGCTCAGCTAGTCAGTGAGAGAAGTGCCCTGCCCTCTTTCCCTCACTAACTAATGGCAGAGCTAGTCAGTGAGGGTACCCTGCCCTCTTTCCCTCAATAGGTAATGGCAGAGCTAGTCAGTGAGGGTACCCTGCCCTCTTTCCCTCACTAACTAATAGCTGAGCTAGTCAGTGAGGGTACCCTGCCCTCTTTCCCTCACTAGGTAATGGCAGAGCTAGTCAGTGAGAGAAGTGCCCTGCCCTCTTTCCCTCACTGGCTAATGGCTGAGCTAGTCAGTGAGAGAAGTGCCCTGCCCTCTTTCCCTCACTAACTAATGGCAGAAGTGAGGGTACCCTGCCCTCTTTCAGGCCTCTAGGGTATGCCTGCCTCTTTCCTCACTGCTAATGGCAGAGCTAGTCAGTGAGGGGAGCTGGCTGAGCTGGTCAGTGAGAGAGTGCCCTGCCTCTTTCCCTCACTAGCTATGGCAGAGCTAGTCAGTGAACCCTGCCCTCTTTCCCTCACTACCTAATGGCTGAGCTAGTCAGTGAGGGTACCCTGCCCTCTTTCCCTCACTAACTAATAGCTGAGCTAGTCAGTGAGGGTACCCTGCCCTCTTTCCCTCACTAACTAATAGCTGAGCTAGTCAGTGAGGGTACCCTGCCCTCTTTCCCTCACTAGCTAATGGCTGAGCTAGTCAGTGAAGGGAGTGCTCTGCCCTATTTCTCTCACTGTCTTGCCCCGGAGTGGAGAAAGGCACCACAGGTGGCTGCTCAACTACAATATAATGTATATATAAACACGTCTCTATATATTTGCAGACCATAAATGTATACAGTATATACAGTACATCTTAAAGATGTGTTAGTATTATTATCGCCCAGTTACTAAAGTAGTAACTTGAGGAAAATAAAACCCATTACTTTCTGATTTTTTACTGATGTAAGGAATAATAAAAAAAATCACGATGGTTTACAAGGCAAGACTGCAGTGTAAAAACGTAAGCAAAATTTGTTTCTCTGGATCAATTTGTACATTATACACACAGGCATTGACTTCATTGGCTTATACACACTAATGCTTCAACCACTTTATATATATATATATATATATATATATATATATATATATATATATATATATATATATATATATATATATATATATATATATATATATATATATATATATATATATATATATATATATATAACGTTCTTATTCCTTTGATGATTATATGTAAAAAAATTACATTATTACAACTAATACACAATGATAATAATATTATAAGTAATACATAATGAGTTAAAAGGTTAAACAAGTTAAACAAGAACAGGTAATATGGTTAATAATAGTGACAAGACCTGGCCATTGATGTGTTAACATGGGCTTGGTGGTGAGTGATACTTAAACTGACCACAACACTCGAGAGAGTCATGGAGAGGATAAGGCAATTTAAGGAACAATATCTAATATCGTATTGGCAGAGGTGTATGAGTGAGGGGTGTTTTTCCCCCTGCAGACCAAGATGGAAATATCATAAGTCCTGCAGCACCCAAAGAGAGAGGGGACCCCATTTTCCCCTGCGGACTAGAAGGGAAATATAAAAAATCCAGTAGCACCCAACAAGAGAGAGGTCCCTATTTTCCCCTGCAGGTTAGGAGGGAAATATCATACAACCTGCAACACCCAACGAGAGAGGGACCCAATTTTCCCCTGCAGGCTGGGAAATATCATAAGTCCTTTAGCACCCAACAAGAGAAGGGACCCCATTTTTCCCCTGCAGGTTGTGAGGGAAAAACCATTAGCCCTACAGCACCCAATGAAACCCACTGATAGGGAGAACACAGGGGAAAGAATCCCTCAGTACATCAGTAAAGAAAGGCCAACGTAAAACTGAATGACACTGGTGAAAATACTGTTATGAAAATACTACATAATGGCATATATACGGAGTGAGTGTGTAAATTACAACTATTTACCAAGATGTGACAAAATGAGGGAAAATGTTGATAATAAAACCAAAATTTTTTTAATTGAAGGAGGAGGAAAGGAAAAGAGGGTAGGTAGATTAAGAGAAAAAAGAGGAGAGAGGGAAAGAGGGAAGATAAAAGGAGAAGGAAAAGAAGAGGGAAAGAATAAAGTCAAAAGTAGAGGAAAATAGAAGAAGGAAGAATAAAAGGAAAAGGATGAGACAATAGCAGAAGATATCAGAATAAAACCTGGTAGCTAAATTGGAAGGGATACTATCAAACTTCACATAAATAATACAAAGAACAAGTAATATTAAATACAGATAAATATGAGTAAATATACAGTACAGTACTTCAGATATATTTCTGGATGAGTTCATAATACAGTACAATATGTCAATCCCATTCAATAATAAAAAAGGTATAAAAATATTTAAGTGATACAAACACTGTACTGTATACATGTGAGCCGCTCAACCTCCTGCACTACAGACAGAAGTGTACAGTATAAGTGAGTGGGCCATGAGTGGTAATGGTGTTTCACGAGGAACCTGTTCACCTCACCTCATCTCGGTGTGGCCGACACAAGTGGCTGCGGGATTGACAAATTTGTCTAAGTAACTGTAATACAAAATTATTATTGTCACTTGGTCATACATTTATGGATAACATGGAGGTTTTATAATTAATTAGTAATTGCAGGTAAGAATACAAGAGACTGGGGAATTGTTTGTTACTCTAAAGTTTCTGATAAGCTCGAAAATTAGTGTGTTGAAAAGTCAGTGGCCTTATGGCAGATAGTCAAAGTTGTCATCACTGAGTTATAAATGTGATGGATTAAGAAATTACTACAAAGAATTTGTATTCATTTATGTAATTTCTATTCTCTTTTTGTCTATTCTATTTCATGTATATCTACAGCAAGTTATCATATAAGAGATTTTACTGTGTGTTTTCCTACCTAAAACATTATTACTTAATGAAAATATATGTTGACATGTTCCTGCTCTCACTCAGTCAAAATTTATCTTCTTTGTTTCTTCAACCTATTTCTCACTTGAATTTTCATTTTATTAAACTTGGAATTACAGTATTTTTCATAAACAATCTTTTCTCAACAAATGTATCTGTATTATGATATTTCATTAAAGTTATTCTCTAATCTTCCTGTTGTCAGTTTTTTTAATATTCTCAAGTTCCAAACTTTGAAACTCTTCAACCAAACTATCCTCTTCTTCCCTGAGCCTAAGCTTTAACTAAAGTCTTTCTTATCGTATTCTGTCTTCTGCAGTCACCCACAATCCTAAATCCCACAACCTGATGGTTTATAACAGGTCAGCAAGTTTAATTGTTTATACACTGTACTGTATATTGAAGCATTTTGGCTTGTGCTACAGTGATAATGTGCATCTCTCATTAATATGTCAAGGACTGGAGACCTGCTTGGCCAGGACACACGTGAGAAGGGTGTTATCCAGTGTGACCCTCACAGGTACTCCACTTCCCTCCTGCACCAACACTGAACAGACCAACACCTGAAGGCTAATTAACTGATAAGTGGTGAAATTAGAAAAAATAAATAACATAATTAGTTTGTGCTCAATTACATCAACGTCACAGCCAACCTACTTCTATCACTACCACTATACTGTACTGTCTATATACTATAACGCTGATGATGGTGACTCTTCTTTAAATAGTGTGGGAAGAGCTGCACAAGGACCTCTGTGGGCTCCACGAATGGTCGAAGAAATGGCTGCTGAGATTCAATGTCACAAGTGTAAGAGGATGCACCTGGGGCGTACCAACGGTAAGAAGGTGTATCATATGTCCCAACGGGATGAAGAAACCGCACTATTGAGACTGAATGTGAGAAGGACCTAGGTGTGTATGTTGACAATGACCTGAAGTTCTCGGGCCATTTTGAGAAGAAGGTAAATCAGGCAAATAAATTATTGGGTCTTATAAGGTCGTTCAGATATCTAGACGGTCAGTCCCTTGTAACGATCTTCAAGAGTGAAGTGCTTCTTCCCCATCTGGAGTACTGTCACCCCGTCTGGTCCCCGAGATACGCTGGGGACTGTCAGTTGGTTGAATATGTTCAAAGGAGGGCCACCAGACTGGTGCCTGCACTTCGGCACCTCAACTACCCTGAGAGATTGGAGCGCTTGAACTTGCCTAGCTTATACTACAGACAAGCAAGGGGGGGACCTAATTGAGGTGTAAAAGCATCTCAAGGGGCACTACTCAGTCGAGTGTCCTTACTTGGAGCTGGTGGACGCTCGCCCCACAAGGGGTCACAGCTCAAGATTGAAGAAGCCGCAAGTCCAGAAAACTGTGAGGGCAAACTTTTTCGAAGTGAGAGTTGTGAACTCTTGGAACAATCTACCAGAAAGTGTTGTGACGGCACCAAGTGTGAGCTCTTTCAAGACAAGACTTGACCAACACTGGAGCGGGTTCAGGTACATTCAGGAGCCGGTGCATGCCCATTACTTGCCAACAGTGCATAACAGAGACGTGATTGATCGCCCAAGCGGCTAATGAGCCGATGAGTGGTGAAGATGATAAAAGAAAGAAAAACATATAATGTACAAAATCTGGTTCAAGATTGTAAAGTTCAAAATAAAACTGTAAGAACACTTTAATATTAACACACTCACATTCTGTTAACACACTCATATTCTGTTAACACACTCACATCTCTAACACTCAACCTCCACTAATACTTAAGCACACTCGCTCCAAAAGGTATCCTTACGGTGGGGTCCGATAAATTCCAAAATGAGCACTGCTACTTCTGTTGTCTCAGTAAGGTTGTCAAAAACTTCCAGCCATTGTGTCATATTGTCTCACACAAAATCATAAAGATACTTTTTGGAGAGAGTCTATACTGTACTGTACATCATTTTCTGTAAAAATTCACCAGAAGTCGAGTTTTATTACATCATCTGGTGTTTCATATGGTTTACAAATGTGAGCCACACCTTTTGGGGCCAACTCAAGTATGAACACATTGGTTTACATAATTACTAATACTCAACAAACTTACTGTAATCATATATAATAATTCTTAAAATATTATAATGATTCTGATGGCTATACTAGTGGTGCATAATGTAGCTTTTCTCATAAAAGTTTTACTGGGGAATATGTTAAAATAAACAAAATATGAAAAGAAAATATGGGGAAAATGAATTTTTTAATAAATATATCTTACGGTACTTACAAACTCACACCATAATGGTGATAGTATTTATATAGTACAGTGCAGTACTTAATTTAGCATTGGGCATAAGTAATATAATAGCTCATAAATGAGAGAAAAAATACAATTAAATAGGTCACAAATCAAAATTCACTGTAAATACCGACAGGGCAGCTTATTGCTAACACCGCACCCTGGGTTTACTGTACTGAGGGGTGATGGCCAATCCCACCCTTACCCCCCATAGCCTGAGTGTTAAAACTGCATATGGGGAGCACAGAACCCAAGTAAGACAAGTGCTGGTGTGCCCATTCTTATACAGTATATGATGTCCTTCACTAGAATCAATTAAATCTCCACTAACAATGCTACAACATCTGCCACTTGAATCACTTCAATATCTTCACTGGTTCCAAAGTTATGTTATAGTTATTTGAAGGTTCACAAAGTATAACTGTTTTTGCTCTATTTTTCATTTACAGCTCTTGTCCTACTTCGGTTCTGTGCTCCTTAATAAAGACCATGATGGCAATTAACAGCAAATTAGGGGTGGCAGAATCTGTGTTAATTGCTCTTCATTCTAGCTACACTGTGTCAGAGCTGTAACAACTATGCAAGATCGAAAAAACAAAAGTATTTCCTGTTGTGTACTGTGCTACTTGACACAACACAACTAGTACTATAAAAGGCTTTGTTTTGATCACTAGAATATATAGTTTAAGGCACCTCTACAATAATCTACCTGAAATAAGATCTATGTTATGTTTCTCCTCATAACTGTATTCACTGTAAAAAGGAAAAAATAAAAAAATAAATAAGTCAATACAATAAACAGTATACAAATGTGCACAACAAAACTGGTAAAGGGGTAATTATTTACTTGCAGGTACAGATACAATAACCAACATGACAAAGATATAAACACAATATATATAGCAACCATAATGTATAATAAATTCTTTCAAATACAACAAAATCTATAATTAACAAGAATATTGTTCTGTATTTCATCTTTTAACATATACTGTATAAATCGGAGAGAAAAGATCTGACAATTGCCGTGTTAATCTACTCACTGAGGCGTCTTGGAAGAAAAAATCAGTCTATACCTGGGTTTCTATACAGTACCATGCAATTGACCACAGACGACACAATAAGTCAAGACTGTAACCTGATGTTGTAAACGAGGCTTCATTCTCTTATTAACAATCACAATTTTGTAATGTGAATATAATCATCAAGTCTTTGTTGCCTCTCTTTAAAAATTACAATAATGTGCACTACTTGGCTGAACATATTTCATATCTTAATATACTGTACTTCAACTTTACCCAAATACTCCAATGACAAATAAAGTGCAATAGAGTTAACCTGTAAAATATATACTGTACATAATGTTCACAGCACCACCAAACAAGTTCCTCTCATAGTTTCCTTACAACACTACAGAGTCTTTGCAGCTCAGAGACATTCTTAACAAAGCCCAGTACAGTACAGCAGTATTAGATAACTAGGAGAATATCATTTAAATAAATTACTGACTCCTTTTAATTAAGCCACAGCCTTCTTATCTACAGTAGCAGGCAAGAATTTTTTTGAAATACAGTAATGGGAAAAATGCACAGATGAGACTGAAATGAAGATGAAAGTTTAGCTGCCAACCTTTTTAAATATAAGTCTGGAGTCAAATAATAGACTGTAAACAATTTACAGATATACAATAGCTGCATTGTAAAGACATTTTTTGCATTATACTGTAGAAAAAATACTAAGATGTCTCGTGTAAGCGATACTTGATGCAGTACATGACCAAAACTGTCTAGACTACCATAACATCTGCGCCGCTATACAAAATACAAACTTCCTAATCAAAATAGAGTATGGAAGGGTCAACAATATACTTTAAATATTCAAATACAAATTATTCTTGGAAATGATTAGTCTTTGTATGTACACATTATTGCATGTGAATCTATACATAATTTTAAACTCTAGAATGTGCACACACCACTCTGCAGTGAAGGCAGGACTACATACATTATAGTATTACAACCTATAAAGTATTAAGAGGCTTTAAATATACTGTACATGTAATTCAAAATTATGTACCAGCATGAGGCACATAAGTACTGTACCTGTACACTAATAGTTTGGTGGACCTTGTGCTGATGAGGTCAGTACCCAAACAGGTGGTGCCATCACAAGATGGTGGGTAGAACCTCTTCTTGTTATGCTTCACATTGAAACATCTGTCCTTGGAAAATGTTCACCTAAAATATCATCAGACTATAATTTCTTGTGGTTTTTAGAGACACCATTTTAATGCCATACCAACCATAAAATGTCTTCACCACTAGAAGTTAAAAGGGGGGAAAAAGAGAAATGCCCCGTATACAACTTTTTAACATAAATATGGAACCTTAACATTTCACGCTCTGCTCACTCCCCCTGAACTATACTATACTGAATTATAAAGTCAGTGTTTATAAGAGTTACTATACAGAACACCCTAAGATGACTGTTAGCTTGGTTATGTATTGGTGTTTATTTGTAGTAAATACTGTAAGATGGTAACCAGGAACCAGTCAAGAGTAGCACCATCTCTGGCTGGTTGGTACGAGCCGGATGAAAGTTCTCAAGGTGAGTGAGTACAACAGGAATGGAAGTCGTAAAGCTCAATGATGCAGACATAATTATGTGTTGTATGCCTCATCACATATTTTACAGCCATATTAAAACAGTTATGTCTATCAAATTGTAAAACTGCACCACATTTAATATCTCACGTTTTTTTTCATAACTGACCACAAAGATTAATCTTTTACATGCAACAGACTTATCATCCCCAGCACTACTGTGCTCTCCCTCACATTGTAATGTATGTGATTCATGACTTAAGATATATGTGTGCAGTTAAGTAAATTATTTGTGCTGTTTAATAATATCATCTTTTAATCACTAAATAAAAGCCTCGGAAACACTATCAATTAAAATAGAGTTCACAGATTTAAGCTTGTCAAGTCTTCAGGGCAAACAGATGCCAGACATTACTGTACAGTACTCTTTAGCTCAGAGAAAGACTGATCCATGGGACAGTCAAGCTGGTGAAGCTGTGGAAAGCCAGAATAATGATAACTTTCAATATATCCTGAACAATATAATCAGGAAGAATGTGTGGGAGTCCTTGACCAACACTGATGCAGGTTCTGATACATTCTGGAGCCAGTACATGCCCAGTATTTGCCAACAGTGTGTAACAGAGCCAGTGCTTGCCAACAGTGTGTAAGAGAGAGCCAGTACTCGCCAACAGTGTGTAAGAGAGAGCCAGTACTCGCCAACAGTGTGTAAGAGAGAGCCAGTACCTGTCCAGTACTTGCCAACAGGGAAGTGACCGATCACCCAAGGAGCTAACAGGTCGAGCAATCAGTGGTGAAGAGGGTAATATTTTGTTTCCTCTCTTGATTTGATCACTGTTAGATGTAGTGGACATCAGGTAAACATAACCAAAGCCTATTATGAATTAAAAGCCTCAACCTATTTGATGTTTGAGTGTCATGATCCCACACCATGAGAGCCAGTTAGGTGGTGCTGACTGATGGTGGTCGTGTAATGACTGGTTAGGTGCACACAGAGAGGGCCCCTGAAGCATTATATGATGTCTAAGGTCAGGAATTATATGCTTAAAGTTATTGAATTTTTTTGTAATTTTTTTGTGATCTACCCAGACAATTATTTGAAACATAATCAAATAAAAGACAATTTTTTTATCAAGTCAAAGCCCATTTTTGAGGTCTTGATAGATATTTAAACAAAAAGTTATTTAGTCAAGACAGATTTATAGTTCAAGAGGGAGACATTACCTACAGATCCTACATGATGCAACACAGCCTCTGGTTTCCTTTTTGTTCCTTTGCTGAGTGGCTGACAGGGTGTGGTAGTGGCCAGTGGAAGTTACTGCCTGGAGCTGTGGGGAAGTGGGCGGGGTAAGGCCATCCGTGCCCACTCAGTTCATGTTGATACTTGTGGGAGCCCGGGAGGGACGACGAGTATTGGGACCCTTTGTTGTATGGTTGGTGGTGATGGTGGTGACTGTGGTGGTGAGGGAGAGGCTGGAGGTTCTGGAATCGTTCTCGTCGTAAATTGTCAAGATGGCTCCTTAGGATCTCTGGGTCCCAAGGATCTGGATGTGGCATCTCGTATATCTGAAAATAAACAAGACTCTTTTAGAAAATGTAATATACAGTACGGTAGGTCTAAATACTGATGCATATTACTAAACAAAAGTGGATAAAGCTGAAACAGTGCTCAGGTTAACTGCATTAACAAACAAAAACATCAAGTACTTTTAAACATTCAGAGTTGTTTTAGATACTTTAAGATTTGTGTTAAATTTTAGCAGGAATTTTATAGACACTTCACAGATGTTTTTTCATTTCTTCTGTCAATTTCAGAAAATGTGAGGCAGAGATATTAGATCTCTTAGACTGCTTTAAGTCATTCTATAAACACAGAAAAAAGTTCTACAGCTGCAATTTGAAATTAGCGCTGCCTCAGTCATTTGTAATGTAGACTGTACATTACTTGGGGAACCAAATTATTACTAGAAATTATTTTGAAAAAATAGCAATTACTAGTGATAGATTTTCTCTTAAATTTTTTGTGCTGCTCTCTGCCTGGCTAACAATTTAGGATATTAGCAGCATTAACAGTACCGTACAGTATCAATTACAGATTGTTAGCACCAGTAACTAACACTGTTACTGCCAGCGTGCATAGAGGAAAACTTCATTACATGTGTTATGCCTGACCTTATTTCTCAAGTTGTCCATGAGGTTGAGTAAGGCAGGACTCCCTCGGGCATCTCGGAAGTCCAAGGGTTCTCGACCATCCTATCAGGGAGAGGAGAATGAGAGCTGTATGAGACTGAGTGATCTAACACTTCACCATCTTAACACAATGAACAGAGTTATTGAGTTTCTGGACTATGAATTAGAGGAACCTTCTTTAGGGTAATCCCACACTCTTTTAAAATAAATAAATTAATAATAAGGAAAATGTTGGAATATAATATGAACATCTAAGGGTTTTCCTGCACGCTTTTGAAATTGATAGTGTTAAATGAGCTTTACATACAGTATATTTAAATATATTTAATTACTATACATATTTGTTATTTATAGTACCTGTACTTATATTGCATCATGTTAAATGTTTTATTTATATAGTTTGTGTATCACATGAAATAGTGTACCGGTATTGTGTATTTACCAATATTATTGCAATTGTGCATTTTGGTAGTGTCAATACCTGCAAAAAATCAGCTATTTCTAAGAATCGGAGTATCAGTATCAGCCAAAATCTTGGCATGAATACATCTTTCAGAGTTTCCTCACCATATCCAGTGCGTGTTCTGAGGACCCCAAGTCTAACAGAGCAGCAACAATAGCTCCCCCATCAGGCAGACCTGAAGCGTAGTGCAAGGGTGTCCTCCTCCACTGATCCCTCACATCATCTGGACAAAACCTGTACGAGGAGCAAGTCTACATCACACAATGGCACTTACTGTACAGTTAAACCTCCATATAACAGATTCATATCTATAATAGTTCATTAGAAAGGGGTTTCATATCTAATGTACCTTCGTTATAATGGATTTACATCTCTATAAAATCCGTTAGATGGAGATTTCACATCTAACAGATCCTCAATACTGTATAATAGTCTTGGTGAATTAATAGTGATTTCCGGCACAAATGAGTATCAAATTCATTCAAAACTCATCGAATACTGCAGAAAAAACATATTTTTAATATCCAAAGAAAGAACGATGCTTTTCTATAAACTTACCACGGACTTTCACATCCATTTAGTCCATTAAATAGAGGTTTTGCTGTACATTATGTACTTAAATACATATTCTTGTAAATAAGCAATGAAGTGATAGTGAATAGTCTTCCCCATGATAAAGAAGGATTGTCTCTGCTGTGTGTCTTCAATACACCGCCACGCTGACACGGATGTTTAAACTAATACAGTGTAGCCTCTAGGTAACGGACCATATGGAGAGGAAATTCCGTTATATCGAGGGTCTGTTAGATAGATAGACAGACAGGTAGATAGATATCGTTAATTGAAGGTAGAGATAGATAGATACTGTAGATAGTTGGAGAGATCGATAGATAGATGAAATAGATGAATAGATAAAGATGTACAGTATAAATATTTAGTCATTAAAATTGTCATACAGCATGTACTGTATATGGTCAATGCAGGTATACAAACAATGTACATATGCAATGGTAAACAGTTCAAAGAGAGACAATCAACAGAGCCATATTCATATACCCTGTACCCTCACCCTACAGTACCTACCTGGGTGTGACGTGGTTGTTGTGGGCTGCTGGCCGGTCCTGAGGAGCTCTGACGATGAGGTTGACTATTTGTTCCCGCCCGTATAACACTGCCCAGTGGAGGAGCGGCATTCCGTCTCCCTGGAGGTAATGGATGCTGTTAGTGACATCTGCTGTGTCATTAAAACTTAATACAGTACACATACTGTACACTCTTAACACTTCATCAACACCCAAGATAATGTTACACGCTCATAAAAACTGAATCACAGCAACCATGGTTAAGTTTGTAATATGGTCATTTTCTAAATTTGTTAAAGGTAGCAAATTTTCAACATTAAGCAATATGTTACAGTATAAACAAAGTATCTAGGGATGTGTTAACAATTACAAATATAATTATGATTCCACTATCAATACAGTACTTCTCTCCCTTCTCCACCTTCACTTCTATGTACTGCTTTCCATTCTTCACCTCTGGACACACTCACCTCCAGCCTTCCTTGCCACAGAAGGTCCACCAGGTAGAATATGTCACTCTCAAAGTAGAGAAGCTGCTGGGCTCTGGCAGTCTCACCATCCTTCACTGCCTGGAACATCTGCTGCAGGAACCCCTGTACAGTAAAGGGTGAAAATGATGGCACTTACAGCACTGCCACACATCTGTCATCAGTTGGTGTAAAGGATTTCCCTTTTCTTAGGTGTAACATTAAAACATTCTTCACTTAAAAATCCCAACTTAAAAAGTCACCTGACATCAATTCTCCTCAAAAAATCAGATTCTTCATCTCATATAGTTTGCCTTTAGTGTTATCTCAAACCAAAAATTCCCTTATTAGGAGCTTTACCTGACATCTCCTGTACTCTTGCAGGAAGAGTCCAATGTCCTGTTCGAGACTTTCTTGAGCCTCAGCCACGACCTCCAGGCGACCAAATCCTCGCAGAGCCAAGAGGTCACGTCTTCTAGGATAGAGGTCAGGGCGGGTCAGCCACTGGGCCACAAAGCGGTCCATGAGTTGTATTAAGTCGTGACGCTTCTTCTTGAGGGCCACGTCCACCACTGTCTTTCCCTCTGGGTCGCGCTCACACAGTAATGATGGCCCACCTATGGACAGTTTCATGTGAACAAATCTGATTAATATTTACTATAATTAGTCTGTGATTTGAATATTTAGTTACCAATCACATAAATTACAGGCACAATAATTTTATTAACAAGCAAATCAATAACAATCAAACACATAAAACTGGAGAACTTGATTAGATTATCCTTTTGATCTACTGATTAAAGCATTAACCAGAAACTATTTTCCATTTAAGTTTAACTATCATAACTAGATGTATACTGCACTCGGTGATTGGTAATGAACCCAACAACACTACAAAGGAAAATAAGTCTGAACATGAACAAAGTAATTACACACTCCACTTACCAACTTCAACGATGGCCTCAATAGCATCCATGTGGACGTCATTCTCTATGGCTTGTGTGAGGACGTTCTTACCCCGGTTCCAGACACGCTCCAAAAGTCGCGCTTCTCTGGAGGCTGCAGCCGGGAGTAAGCTCTTGACCACTTCCGGCTCCATCCACGACTCAAGGGCTGTGAAGATTACTGGTACATCCACCTGACATAATGAGAGACAACATATAGGTCAATACATTCAGGTAATTTATAAAATGGCAACAACAAGAAACAAACATGATCCAAATGAACTTGAAAAAAATACAAGCATCAGGTAAGAATTTTTGTATTACTGTCCAACCAACAGTAAATATGTTGAGAAATTAAACAATAATCAGCTAAATACATCACTTGTACTGTTTTTTTTAGCAGAGTAGTTTAGTACACCTGTAGTGAGAAATGATATACAGTATGTATGTTGCGTTGACTAAGTAAGAGAAACAATTGAAACCCTGCAATTGTGTGTAAACTTTTGGAACAATCTACATGTACCAGCAAGTGTTGTGTCGGCACCGAGTGTGAGCACTTTCAAGACCACACTTGACCAACACTGGAGCAGGTTCAGATACATTCAGGAGCCAGTGCATGCCCAGTACTTGCCAGCAGTGTGTAACAGAAATGTGACCGATCGCCCAAGCAGCTAACGAGCCGATCAGTGGTGAAGAGGATAAAAGTAAAGGTGCAAATGAGACAGAAAGTCACATCAGCAACCTGGGACTTGGTCACAATTTTGTGATGCCATATGGCAGCAGGGTCTACCATTAGACAATACATTATGCTTCCAAGTATAGTACAGTATATACATGAAACAACTTTCATACAATGTATCATGTATTTATTCTGTACAGTATTTTTACTATTTGCAAAGATCATGACATTCAATGAGTCGCATCCGTTTTATTCTTCTTGATGAACAGTTCATAAGTTTCTTCTCATAGTAAACTTCCACATGTGCACTGAGTTCTATCTACCTGTACTGTATATTATTTTTAAGCCACAGAACTTAATAATAAGGAAACAATGAACCAATGCAGCAGTACAGTGAAACACCTATTTAACGGACTACGTATATGGAGATTAAAGTCCAATATATCGAGGGTCTGTTAGATGTGCAGCCCCCCATCTAACAAGCTATATAGAGATGAAAGTCCATTATAACAAGGGTCCGTTAGATGTGCAGCCCCCCCCCCACCTAAATGATTATATGGTAGTAGGTAGTAGGCAGCTACTAAACAGGGAGGTACTACTGCCTGGGAAGATATTGGAATCATAATGTGTTGTCTAATGGTAGACCCTGCTGCCATATGGCATCACGAAAATTTTTACCAAGTCCCAGGTTGATGATCTGACTTTCTGCCTCATTTACACACAATTGCAGGGTCTCAACTGTTTCTCTTACTATTGACAACACAACATACATATACTGTATTGTTTCTCACTTTGATCTTTTTTTTTCTTTTAATTTTTTTAATTTTTATGGTTCTTTATTATTATTATTATTATTATTACATTTTCGCCCCCCAGGCCCCGATGTGGGTCAGTGACCTGTGGGGTAATCCCTGTAAAAAAATAAATAAATAAAAAATATGGAGGTTTCACTGTACTGCATACTAACCATAGAGTCATCCAGCATCTGGGTGTAGAGGGACGCTCCGTGGTGCCTCAGTTCCCGGATCAGCTCGTGTTGGCCGCCACGGATGAGGAAGAACAACAACGGCGCTCCTCGTTCACTCAACTTCCTGATGTCAACGTTGATCTTCTTCCTGGCGGGGGACTCCAGCAGCTCCCTCACCGCCGACACATTCCCCGCCAGGGAGTGGTGGACCAGACACTAAGGGAGATGCAAAGCAAATATTTAGCATCACCAGACAGCCCAGTTTATTGTTTCATTTTAAGTTTAGACACCCTAATACAGGAGGTTCTCATTATCCCTGGTTAATTAGGACCGGATAAACACCTCTGATAACGAATCCACTTAAAGCGGGGAGTTAATCCCATAAGAAATAATGGAAATAGGTCAAATTGGAACCATGGCATTGTACAAGACTCAACATTTTTTTTATATATCTTTTAACAATTATTTTCCTTAAAAACATTTGATAACACATTATTTTAAGAAATTATTTATTTTATAAGTTATCTAACATCCTTAAAGTTCATTGGGGTCGGTGTGTTTAGGCAACGTAGGTTGTGCCAGCGACCCGCAGCAACCGTTGCTGGTGCACACTCACTCCAGTGGTTCACTGAGACAAAATATTTATTATAATGTTTTAAAAATAAATAATTTTAACATAATAAAACATTTTTATTTACTTAGCTTCAAAGGTAGAGATGTTTGGCTTGATTGGATTAATGCCGGTGGATGTTGGGGGAAGGAGAATTACTCAGAGGATGAAAAAGAAACAGAAATAGGTGGATTGTCCAATCCCATTGTTCTTTTGTCAAATCACTTCTAATTTTACATCAATACTATAGCTAGTGTGATTCCTTTTGAGTGCTGCACCACCCTGTTTGGGTTTGGGAACTCATGGCTACAAAAATGATAAAATAATACTTTTTACTTACTTTTACCCTCTTCACCATTCATCGGCTCATTAGCCGCTTGGGCGATCAATCACGTCTCTGTTATGCACTGTTGGCAAGTAATGGGCATGCACCGGCTCCTGAATGTACCTGAACCTGCTCCAGTGTTGGTCAAGTCTTGTCTTGAAAGAGCTCACACTTGGTGCCGTCACAACACTTTCTGGTAGATTGTTCCAAGAGTTCACAACTCTCACTTCGAAAAAGTTTGCCCTCACGGTTTTCTGGACTTGCGGCTTCTTCAATCTTGAGCTGTGACCCTTTGTAGGGCGAGCGTCCACCAGCTCCAAGTAAGGACACTCGACTGAGGAGTGCCCCTTGAGATGCTTTTACACCTCAATTAGGTCACCCCTTGCTCGTCTGTAGTATAAGCTAGGCAAGTTCAGGCGCTCTTATCTCTCAGGGAAGCTGAGGTGCCGAAGTACAGGCACCAGTCTGGTGGCCCTCCTTTGAACATTTTCAACCAACTGACAGTCCCTAGCATATCTCGGGGACCAGATAGGGTGACAGTACTCCAGATGGGGAAGCACTTCACTCTTGAAGATCGTTACAAGGGACGGACCGTCTAGATATCTGAACGACCTTCTTATAAGACCCAATAATTTATTTACCTGATTTACCTTCTTCTCACAATGGCCCGAGAACTTCAGCTCATTGTCAACGTACACACCTAGGTCCTTCTCACATTCAATCTCAAATAGTGCAGTTTCTTCATCCCGTTGGGACATATGATACGCCTCCTTACCGTTGGTACGCCCCAGGTGCGTCCTCTTACACTTAGTGACATTGAATCGCAGCAGCCATTTCTTCGACCATTCTTGGAGGCCACAGAGGTCCTTCTGCAGCTCTTCACAGTCCGCTTGGTTCTTGATTTCCCGAAATATCTTGGCGTCATTGGCAAACATTTGTATGGAGGAGTGTACAACGTCAGGCATGTCATTTATGAAACAAACAAACAACAGCGGGCCCAATGCACTGCCCTGTGGTACCCCGCTTGTGACAGGTACAGATGATGATTTCGTGCCATTAATCACCACACACTGCTTGCGGTCATGTAGAAAGTCTTCTATCCACGCTAGGACATTTCCCTGAATTCCGTACCCTTCCAGTTTGATTTTCAGCCTTTCGTGGGGTACACGGTTGAAAGCCTGGCAAAATCTAGGTAAATATTATCGATATTACCACCCCATTCCAGAAAAAGGGTCCAAATATCCAATACCTTGAACAATTGTGTTAAGCAGGAGCGCCCCGGCATAAAACCGTGTTGGCAATCCTTTACAAGGTTGTTTCGTAGTAGATGTTCCATTGCGGCATCTCTGATAATACTCTCAAGTACGTTACATATTATGCTGGTCAGGCTCACCAGTCTATAGTTGTTCGTGGAGTGACGATTGTCCTTCTTGAAGATAGGACTCACATAAGCCACTTTCCATTCACTGGGGACCTTTTGTTCATCCAGGCATTTACAAAACAGGATCTTCAGGGGCTCGGCAAGTTCGTTTCACAACTCTCTTAGCACTCTAGGATGCACCATGTCAGGGCCGGGACTCTTATGGACCATTAGCTTTGACAGTTTATTTCTAATATCCTCTTCTGTGAACACAATGTGGGTCAGTGCTGTGTCAAACCATCTGTCCTCAAACACAGGAAGGTTAATTGCATCCTCTCTTGTGAACACTGAGGAAAAGAAGCTGTTCAATGCCTCAGCTTTATCCTGGTCAGAATCTGCGTAACTACCATCTTCAAGCCTCAGGTCTGATACTCCTACTCGCTTTTTTAATTTCGACTTTGCATAGCGGTAAAACGCCTTTGGGTTTGACTTGACCTCGCTTGCAACCAGCCTCTGGAACTCCGTTTCAGCCCTTCTACACTCTATCTTTGCTTGGTTTCTGGCTCTTGCATACATCCTCCTGTCCTGCTCATCGTTTGACCCAATCCACGCCTTGAATTTCTGGGTACACCACAACATGCACGAAAAGACACAATAAAGGCAGGAGTAAACACAACACAGCACTGGTCTGGAAGAAACAAAGCAGGAGAATGGCGCGGGGACACATGGGTGCATGCATGATGCAAGGAAGAGGAAGAAATTTCAAAATGCTTCAGCTAAAAATCCATAGATTTTATCGGGAGTTTTAAATCTGTAGATTTTCTCCAGAGTTTTCAGAGTTTTTGAGCAGTTTTTATGTGGAATCCACTTAAATGCAGGTACTTTTTATGTGGATGGTCACAAAAAGTTGACCGTGACTGCAAAACTGCAGGTAGTGAATACTCTTCTAATAAGGACCTCCCATCTCACGTTAAGATTAGATACCTGTGCTTATGTCAACGTAAGATTAAATACCACAGCTTATTTCACCTAAAGATTAGACACCCCAATATATATCACTTTAAGATTAGACACCACAACTTATTTCACTTAAAAATTAACCACCATAAAACTAACCGAACCTAACCAGGGACCAAATACAATAAATAAATCACAGTGACAAGAATCTGATCATGAGAGGCTGCAAGAGACCACACAGCAAGGAGAGCTGCCATCAGGTTCATAATCATAGCTAATCCAAGAAAGCGCAGAAAATGGGCGTAAAATAATAATGATGATGATTCTATGACTTGCATGATGCTGTAACCTAAATAGTTCTAACATAGTAAACAGTGTCCAGAAGTTAGATGGAAGATATTTTAATACCGAGGCCTTATCTTCAACTGTTCAATATTTACCAAAGTTACAGTATTCATAAAGCTCACTGGCAGAGCTATAATACTATGGTAGTGTGTGTGTGTGTGTGTGTGTGTATGTGTGTGTGTGTGTGTGTGTGTGTGTGTGTGCCCACCATGGAGGGTTGGATGCTCAGCAGGAGGGAGATGATGGTCTCATTGCCAGTGCTGACAGCAAGTTCACGCAGGCTCATGCCTCCCCGATGCAGGTCAACGCGGCACCAGGAATTCACTAGCTGGCGAACCTGATGGTCAAAGATTATACCTATACTGTAAAGGGTCAAAGGTTATGTGAGGTATTGTCCTTATGATTATATTAAATTCTTGGATAATAATTACAATGACTCTTTGATTATAAGTCATTATACAGTAAAAGACAATTTAGCATTATACTGTACTGTACAGAGGCAAGTTAAATTTGTCATTCTAACATAAAGCTTAGCTGTATGTTAAAAATTTAAAGTATCTCTGAGTACTGCAAGACTTTACAATTATGGTACACTGTATATATGCAAATCATATCAATAAAGAACTAAACACTTTGATGGCATTAGAAAATTTGATGAAAGAAATATAAAGTGGAAGATGGTCACCAACCAAGTGCTGTAGTGTGTATTCTGAAAATCAAAAGACTTGTTAAGCTTCACCCAAAGACGATTCAAGATAAATCCGATATGGCTGAAATAAATTGTGTGGCTTGTAGGGCACACACTTTTACTTTTATCCTCTTTACCACTGATCGGCTCGTTAGCTGCTCGGGCGTTCGGTCACGTCTCTGATACGCACTTTTGGCAGATACAGTAAGTCCTTGCTTAACATCGGGGTTATGTTCCTAAAAATCCAACGTTATACGAAACAACGTTAAGTGGATCAATTTTTCCCATAAGAAATAGATAAAATACGAGAGTTACGTTCATGAGCCTCCCTTTGCCCCATGAAATACATTTCATATACTGTACAGAAAATCATTGCCATTTCTATGGAAAATAATGCATACATATTGTATACAACTACTAAGTTTGTATTGGTACTCACCGATGGGCGGAGGTGGTAGAGCAAGTGTGTGGTGGGTAGTGAAGCAGGGGAGGCGGATGGCGGGAGGGGAGGCGGATGGCAGGAGGGGAGGAGTGTGGTGGGAGCGGAGGAGGAGGGTGGCGAGTCACTGAGACTCTGCGCCGAGCCGAGAGAGCATAGCGAGTTAAGACGAGAGCAGGTGATGCACCGTAAAATGTAGTCTGTGACGACGCAAAACGACGTAGTATCGGATCACCGGGACGTTAAACGAATTTTTGGTCTTTAAAGTTTAGCGACATTGTGCTGAAACAACGTTAAGCGGGATGACGTTAACAGCGGACTTATTGTACTGGGGATGCACTGGCTCCTGATCGTATCAGAACCTGTTCCAATGTTGGTCAAGTCTGGCCTTGAAAACGCTCATACTAGGTGCCGTCACAACACTCTCTGGCAGATTGTTCCAGAGTTCACAATTCTCACCCCAAAAAATTTGCCCTCACAGTTTTCTGGACTTGTCAAGTTGGAATGTATCTGTAATGATAACACAAGAGGTGGAGTGCATCTGTAGAGCACACTTGAGGGAGAGCTAAGAAGTTAGGTTTTCTACAACAGCATCAGTTAACTTATTCACAGGAACACCAGTAAACATCAGTACATAAAAAGGCCATCTTGAACCACAGAAAAGATGTCATTAAGAGTTCCTGTGTCCAAAAATGGTTATACTGTAGTTGTGTTATTATTGCAGTCTGGCTCTCTGAACCTCCTGTCTGCTTATATAATATCTTTATAAGAGAACCCCCATACATGGAAAGGCAGGCAATGGGCTGACACTTCCTTGGCAAGTTTGTGGCGAGAGCTTGATTACTGCCGTGTGTGCTGACTAATGACAGCTGGAGGTTCAGTAAGTGCTGACAACAGTACACCCCCCCCCTACCTTGCTGATGTTTTCTGAGGCCACGGCCCTCCAGAGACCTGGCCAGTAGAACCTGAAGACCCTCTGCACAGCCACGGCAGGACCGCACACGGGCTTCTTGGGATCCATACCAGCCCATTCATCATCCTCCTCATCACTATGGTCGTCCTGGTGGTAGGGGTCATGGTTGTGGTGGAGAGGAGTGAGGGGCTGGTGGTTGTGGTACCTGTGAGCATGTGTTTGACTTGGATCATTTAGTATATCTTCTTCATCATCATCATTTTTATTATTCTCCTCCTCCTCCTCCTCTTCTTCTTTATCTTCCTTACTGTTTTCAAGGTGAAAGTAGCTGAGTTTGTCAGGATTTGGGGGGGTCGGTTTTGGTGGATTTTGTTGATCTGAGGAGATGGAAATATACATGACTCTCAAAACAAACTTTAAGCTTGGTAGTGACTGTAGTTTGGGGACTTGAAGTATTAACTGGGTGATTTACTATGACTTTTAAAAAAAATTTGTGAATGAGAATGTTCGACCCACACAAACTGATTCTGTTTCTCATCATATATCATCCAATGAACACACATGCTAAGGTTCCAGTTAAATATCTCTAAATGTTTTGTAATTAAAAGTCAAATTAACTTAACCCAATTTTAAATGATCCATCAAATCCAACAATCCTGACCTTCCCTGACCTGATTTAGTTTCTTTTCTTTGAGCTCTGACCTGGCGGCTGCCTCGACCTCCTCCAGGAGAGAGACGCCGTCGTGTTGGGCGTGAAGGTCAGCACCACACTGTAGGAGGGCGTCACACACAGCTGCATCTCCTGGTAAAACATGATAGGTAGTTGCCAAACCTAGAGAATATTGGTCAAAGCATTTTCTACAAAACACCTTGTAATAAAGTTGTAGATACAGTATACAGGGTGTCTCAAAACATATATACACGCTGTTTTACAGATCTTCATAGAGATTGCTTGTATCATAACAGCAATATTGTCCAAATATTGTGGTAAACAAAATGTATATTGGTAGAAAAAAGGAAAAGAACAAAAACTAAATGAAAAAGAGGAAAATCGTGGACACTGAGAAGCATAACTACTCTTCAGGTGATGTGAGTCAGTGTGTGGGTGGTGTGGACTGACCTCTTCTGGCAGCATAGTGGAGGGGGGTGAAGCCAGAAGCATCGCGACCATTGATATCCACACCAGCGTCACATAACATGTACACAATGGCCATCCGGGCGCGGTGGTGCCTCTCCTGAGACGGTTCACTGGCCCACGCCCACGGTGGGTGTGGGGGTGTTTTGAAGCTTTCCGATATGAGCGACGTGTTCTTGGGAAGTGACGAGGTTCGGGTCTTTGCGCCGTACGTGGTTAATATCTTGGGTAGTGTGGAGTGATCCCCACCTCTGCCGCCGTTAACAAAACAGTTGGGTTTCCCCTTCTCCTCCTGTCTTTCATATCCGTTTTCTCTTAATTGTTCACAGAAGCAGGAAATGTAGTCATCGCCTGACTTGGCCAGGACGTGGAGGGGAGACCAACCATCCTGTAGTGGAAAAAGGTCAAAATTAAAATCCTTGATAACATACTTTTTTTGTTTTAATATTTTTAGTATGGGGTTAGAAGTTACTCGAGGAAGTGCTCATGTATTTGTAGTTATATTTTGAAATTTGATTCACAGAAAAGCAGACCAAAAATAAACAAACAAACAAACAAACAAACAAGCAAGCACACAAACAAGCAAGCACACAAACAAGCAAGCACACAAACACACACACACACACACACCAGAACATCAAAATCAGAAAAAATAATAAATAAACATTTCCTGTGTCATTAGCTCAGTGCAGTGGAAAATTAATGTCACTTCCAATGACTGTCGACTGTAATTGGAAACAGAATGTTCTGTGTTTGTTTACTCATTGAGGAGGAAAATATACCACAGAACTCTTTAGATTACAAATTATTAATGATGATACTTGTCTGGCGTTACTCAAATAAAATATCAAAAGTAAAGTCACGTTAGGTTAGAATAAGTCAAGTCAAGTCAGTTTAGGTTAGAATAAGTCAAGTCAAGTCAAGTCAGGTTAGGTTAGCATCAAGGTGGTTAATCTTCAGTTGGACTAAAAACTATTTGTAAAGACCTTTTAACAATCTAAAAATTGAATACCCTGACTCAGAGGACGTGGGGTAGGAGTGACTCACCTTGTCGCAGGATGGGCGGTCCCTGAGGGCGTGGGCGTGGTTGTCGAGGATGTGTCGCACAACATGGGGGTGTGGGGTAAGGATGGCTGAGTGCAGGTCGCTAACCACAGAGGCACTCATCTCTCCTGGCCAGGGATCCTCCTCGCCTCGCCCTCCCACCTCCTCTTACTCACACACGCTGACAATAACAACAATAATAATGATAATGTTAGTAATAATGATAATAATACGTGAGCCCAAACAAATTATCCTACCATAATCTGAGCCCCTTTAGAGGACCATTATAACTCCAATGGTCTACAAAATAATATCGTTCATTGCCTTTTGCTATAATGTCCCAGGTTCGATCCCCGGCCTGGGACACATGTGAGAAGGGTGTTATCTCGTGTAACACAATTTGAGTAACCTGTTAAAATTACGGGGTTGAAAATGGTGATTGAAAGCAAAAAAAAAAAATTGCTGGTGATTGACAGATAAAAAGTAACTGGTGGCTGAGATGTAAAACAGTTCTGGATACTGACAGATGACAGACAGGTACCTGTACCAGTTTCAAATGACATCACAGTTTAATATATCATGAAGTGGTTTAGTGGGTTAGTGTTAATAGTATGTATACTTACAGTGTTGTCTTAGGGTCAAGCTCTACCATTATCTAAAGTGCCTGTTAAGTTACAGTAAGGGAGGTTAGGTGAGTAGAGGTTAGGTGAGTAGAGGTTAGGTGAAGTGATGTGAGGTTAGGCGAGATGAACGCGTTTGTTAAGGTGAGGTTAAGTTAGGTAGGATGGGTGGTAGGTCTCCAAGGTTACTGTATGCCCCTACAAGGCAGGAGGTCATCCCACTGTGATGTTGAGGAGTGAGTGAGGGGTATTTTGCCATAGAGCCTGACCCAGGTTAAACTAATATAACCTAGACTATACTGAACTAACCCTGGCTAAACTAATCTAACCTAAACCCAAACTATACGAGCTCAGGCTGTACGAATGTAAACTAAATTGACCTAATCTCATTTACACCAACTCCCCTACCTCAACCTCCCTTCCTCTCACTCTCCCCATCCTCTCTCACTCTTTCCTCCTCCCTTCCTCTCACTCTCCCTTCCACATCAAGGGCTGATATCACTAGGGATAATCTAAATTCTCTTGACAGGTAATACTGCTGGTGAGTAACCCCTGATAACCTTCTTTCTCTCTCTCATATTAAAGAACCTAAAATTATAACGTCAACAATCAACATTACTGTACTGGATGTAGTGCTGCCCAATAAGAATAATAAAACTAATACTGCATTGTGACTATTACTCTATAAATTAATTAAAAGTATGTACAGTATTATGATAGACAAAGGTAATAATTATACCACTTTCAAGTACTGTACTCAGTAATTCACCAACCAAAGACACCTACCTAACCTTACCAACTTCCTGACCTAACCAACCAAAGACACCTACCTAACCTTACCAACTTCCTAACCTAACCAACCAAAGACACCTACCTAACCAAACCTAACCAACAAAGACACCTACCTAACCTTACCAACTTCCTAACCTAACCAACCAAAGACACCTACCTAACCTTACCAACCTAACCTTACCAACTTCCTAACCTAACCAACCAAAGACACCTACCTAACCTTACCAACTTCCTAACCTAACCAACCAAAGACACCTACCTAACCTTACCAACTTCCTAACCTAACCAACCAAAGACACCTACCTAACCTTACCAACTTCCTAACCTAACCAACCAAAGACACCTACCTAACCTTACCAACTTCCTAACCTAACCAACCAAAGACACCTACCTAACCTTACCAACTTCCTAACCTAACCAACCAAAGACACCTACCTAACCTTACCAACTTCCTAGCTGAGTGACGGAAGAATTTTCGGAGGAGTATTCTACAAGCAGAATCAAAACCTTTTTTTTTCTACATACACTTATCCATACATATAATAATCCATAAAGCCACATGATAATTGATACTTGGATTAGACCAGTGTAATAATATGAGTTTTTATAAGGTAGAATATATGGTTGAATCTAATTACTGTTTACTATTATTGTATAGTACTTGAAATGTCTATGTAAATGTTGAGCCAGTGTGAACCTGTGTGATAATTCTACTATCTTGTATGATCCAATAATCCTGTACAATACTCGAATCACACCAGACTCTGACACACGTGTTCCTTAAACCATTCATAGCTACTGTATATAATTAAGTCAACAGTATCAAACAAAACCCCCAAATCCCACCAAACAATCCAGTGAAATAATGTGTGTCGTTTCCTGCAGTTATATCAACCATAAAAGAGCTAGGGTAAAAAATTTCAACTGGGAAGAAATTAAAATGGCTTTGTATTGTACTTGTAAGGGCCAACACTTACCTCGCTTCATCAACAAAGACGTATATGTTATATTCCCGTTAATTCTTGTCAGTCTGGGTTAATTCCTCCTCACAAAGTCATCTCTCACTGGAAGTTATTGAAGATGGTGGACTTTACACGTGCGTACAGTTTATCCTTGAGTTTTGTCTGACTTTCCTGAGACGATGTTTACCATGGACCAGTAGAGGCATCTGGTGGTCACCTCAGGAAACTACCTCATGTGCTCTGGTTGGTGCGCGCGACGGCCAATCAATACTCCGAAGGCTAGAGAGGCAAGGTTCTCATTGGCCCGCTATTCGTTTTCTGTGGCATCATCAAGTGTGTCAGAAAGCAGAGTGTTGATCAATACGTCGGGTCGGGTCGGCAGCTAGTTACTTCTTAAGGCTATGAACACGTATACTATTCTCACCCCGATAACCTGTACTCTTAACACAAGAGCTAGAGCAGAAAGGTTTAAAAATACAGCCGACTGTCCTCACCAGCCTGGCGAACTAGCTGAATAAACAAAGTTAGAAAGATATTTGGCGGGCGAGTCAAGCCAGCTGGAGGCAGTCAGAACACCAGAGCTAAAATGTTCAGACTCCGGGAAAACGTCTCTAGGACAATGGCGCCATATATCCTCTGAATCAATACAGAATAGCGCATGAAACTGCTCCGGGCTTTTCAGGATTAAGCTGCGACTTACTGGTAATGTTCATCATGATTAAGTAACATGCAGGGAGTAGCAGAATGTACGTAGTTTGAGATACCATTTAATGCGTCCCGGAACCTTGTAGTAAATTGTCCCACACACATATTATTTTACACATTTTACAGACGTTATTATATACCTTCACAGTCTATGTACGTTGTTATACCTGCGTTGTGTATATACAGTACATCCTGAACTGCATACCGATATTGTCTATAAGCATGCTGAACCAACTGTAAATTTCTATGACGATTTTACTAAATAGAGATTTTTATTTGTCTATATCAATTTATCTATATATCTGTTAACCATCTCTCTCTCTACTCCGGATAGGACACTTTCTATCTCAATTTCCTACAGCGGGATAAAACTAGAGACACCCTTTTAATACGTCTTAGACCCTTGAGTTAAACTATCGTCACACAAACTCATAATTCGAGCCATTTTACACTTCAAAAACGTCATCTATTTATTTATGTATTTCCTAGCCTTCCCGAGGTGTTGTTTAAGAGCTGTGTCGTGTGATGTGCACCGTGATATTACTCTTTTTAGTGCATGTGTGTGTGTGTGTGTGTGTGTGTGTACTTGTACAAAGATGAAGACAATAACTGCTTGGTTTATATGTATTTATGGTTACAAGTTAATTGGGCCCCAGTCCTAATAGACCTCAGTACAGTCTAATCTAACTATTATGACTGGGGGTCCTTTAGAACTAGAGCCCTTAATAATTGGGACCTATTGGGGCCCATTAGAACTGAGATCCATTAGAAATGGGACTCATTAGAACTGTAACTCATTGGTACTGGGGACCCGTTAGAACTGGGGCTTAAACGAGATAAAAATTTAAATTTCAAAACACTGTTACCACATAAGACACATAAACAACACACACACACGATGACGTACTCTATGACCCTGTGTTGTACAGTATGTAGGCTATCACCTGAAGAGTGACTAACCCAACCCAACCCAAACCTTACCTATCCTATCCTTACTCAAACCTAACTTACCCTAACCTATTCTAATTCATCCTATCCTAACCTAACCTAGGCACACCTAACCTTACCCCCCACATAGCGTAGAGTGTTTAATATTCAGGTAAAATAAGCTGGGGCTAATTATCAGATGATCGTATCTATACACCATTCATACTTGGTGAATATATTGACCCTAACAACACCTATAGGTCATATGATTGGCGGGTCAAGAGGTCAAGGTCACAGTTCTGATTGTCTTGTCCACAACATAACTGGAGAATAGAAAGAACATTGCCCTATCTATGACGTCACAGAGGCTCCCTGTCCTCTATAGGACCTGGGCTACTGCGTCACAGGTACACACGTGACGTCACAGCAGCTAATTGGACTCCCATAAGACCTGGGCCACTGAGTCACAGGTACACACGTGACGTCACAGAAGCCCTATACGCCATTATAAACTCACATCTATTAACGTCATAAAGCCCTCAGCTATTTACCGCCTTTGAGAATCAATACAAAAGATAATGTGGGAGGATAAAGAGGAGATGAGCAGCAGATGATGATAAACTTGCTGCCTCAGGGATTAAAAAAATAAAATACGGGAGAAGAAACAAAAATGGAAAATAGATAAAAAAAAATAAAGACAAAAACTAAAATACGACATGAAATTGATAGAAAAATATAACAATGGAAAATAAATAGATTTAAAAATTAATAAAAGTAAAAATAAAAATAACAACAGATAAAAGTGAATGAACTACGATAGAATGAAAACAAATAAAGTAAAGAAAAATATATTGACACCTGGATATACAGTACAATGAAGTATATTCTGAGATACAACCCTTCCAGCCCTCAGCCCTTAAACCCTTCCAGCCCTCAGCCCTTAAACCCTTCCAGCCCTCAGCCCTTAAGGTTATCAGGATTTAAAGCAATAGAGATAGAAGGACTCTGCCTGTACCTGGAGCCGCCTCCCACCTGACCACCACCGCCTGTTTGATCATTGCATCTCACCTGCAGCTAATTTGTGAGATGTCTTGGGATACCTGCCACCACCACAGCCTCCTGATTCACACCATCTTAGGTTAAATTATTCGGATCACGTGTAGATTAGGCACCCTAGTTTACTTCACCTGATGACTAAATATCCTAACGTAAACCTAACCTAACTAAAGCTAATCTCACATAACTTAACATAATCTAACTTAACCTAATCTAACCCAAATGAACTAAATCTAACCTAACTTAAGATAATCTAACCTAAATTCTGGGTTCATGTCTCACCCTTGCTGTAACAACTAGACTACTGTAACTTACAAAATAGAGAGAGACGGGGTTCATGTCTCACCCTCGGTCTAATAACTGGATGGTAGTGAATTATTGATGCCATGTCGTGAGGGACCCGCAGTGTAAAGGAAAAGTATTAAGACGAACTTTTATGTGTGAATGAAACACAAATATTATAAAATGAAGAGAAATATTCAAGAAGGATCATAGACACAGTATTGTAAAATGAAGATAAATGTTGTAAAAATACAAAAATAACAATAACAACAATAATAACAGCAACAACAAAAAGGAGAATAACAATAATGATAATAACTTTAACAATAATAATAATAACTTTAACAATAATAATAATAACTTTAACAATAATGATAATAACTTTAACAATAATGATAATAACTTTAACAATAATGATAATAACTTTAACAATAATGATAATAACTTTAACAATAATAATAATAACTTTAACAATAATGATAATAACTTTAACAATAATAATAATAACTTTAACAATAATAATAATAACTTTAACAATATTAATAATAACTTTAACAATAATAATAACTTTAACAATAATGATAATAACTTTAACAATAATAATAATAACTTTAACAATAATAATAATAACTTTAACAATATTAATAATAACTTTAACAATAATAATAACTTTAACAATAATGATAATAACTTTAACAATAATAATAATAACTTTAACAATAATAATAATAACTTTAACAATAATAATAATAACACCAACAACAACAATAATAATAACAGGTAGAGCCAGGTAAGGTCACCAAGACAGGTATTGTCTCCCGGATGACCTTGTATTTGCAGCAGCTGGTCGATAATGCGGCATAGTTGACCTCTGTTGGCCCTTCACTACGCCACACAGTTGGTCTCTCGCTGAGTTACGGTGATTTACATTGAGTTCTGGCCGTATACGTTGTTACGACCCCCAGTAACATACCAGGGTTGAGTTACGGACCCTAGTGACGTACCAGCGTTGAGTTACGGCTCCTAGTGACGTACCAGGGTTGAGTTACGGCCCCTAGTGACGTACCAGGGTTGAGTTACGGCCCCTAGTGACGTACCAGGGTTGAGTTACGGCCCCTAGTGACGTACCAGCGTTGAGTTACGGCTCCTAGTGACGTACCAGCGTTGAGTTACGGCTCCTAGTGACGTACCAGAGTTGAGTTACGGCTCCTAGTGACGGGCGTGTGTGACTCAGTGTTAGCTACGGCCGTCACACAATCCCAGGAAGTCATCGATTCATACTACAAACACACTAATACCGCACTACTATCACACTGCCACCACAACACACACATACAAACATTCTCAAGCACACAATCATTCATAAATACACAGATACACCGCGATAAACACACAAACATTGACACACACACACACACACACACACATTATAGAAGCTTAGGTTGAGATTACAGTCACTGACGTTCTTAACATTATAGTTGCTGACGTTGTTATAGTTTGGCATTCTAATAGGGTAACATTATAGTAGTTGACGATCCAATAGGCTGACATGCAGTATATAGACACGATATAGGAAACCGTTATACCGTCACTGGGATGCTGGCAGCCCCCGGCTCGGCCCATCATTGATTATCTTCTGCTTAACCTTACTTAACTCACTCCTTCGATTACCTTCACTTAAAGCTGATTTCTACCTGATATCAAACCGGTTTATATGTGATTTTAACCCTAGATTTACCGGTTGTTATAATAGTACAAATCAAAGCAACCTGACATTATGTCACTAGGCTTCAGAATGTGAAAATTTTTATGTTAGTTTTTACTTGATATTGAACTGTTTTTTACTTCATTTTAACCGGTTTGTATATGGCTTTTACTTATATTCCCGAGTTGAAATAATAATAATAATAATAATAATAATAATAATAATAATAATAATAATAATTATAACAATAATAATTTCATTGATTTATTATTATTAAATATAAAACTACTGTGAATTTACACGTCGAATGGTTTCAATTCTCCGACTTCAAATATCTTCTATGGCAATTGGAACCTCAGTGGTTAGATTTGACAGTGAGACTTGTGTAATAAAACACCAGCTTGACCTTACTTGAGGCTTTAATAAGCAGAAAATTACAGTTCCTTTGAAAGAGCATACACTTTAAGTGAGTAACATTGTTATGTGAATAACAAGCAAATAAGTTTAATGTCATTTCTACACACAAGCCTTCTTTATATATTCCTTAATAAGTGCTAGTTATCACAACTCATAATGATCTGTGGTAACACGGTAAATCAGGAAAATATTCATCAACTAACCTTCTGTTAAGGGCCAGCCATGAGTCACCAGGCCAAGGGCCACCACTATAAAAAAGACAATAGATCCCTTTGTATAATCCTATAAAGTTTCCATAGAATACATAGTTATTTGTAGCTAAATAATAACTAAATATTACCACAACTTGGCTGGTTACTGTCAAATAGATAATAAGTATTTATACAGTTGGGTAACAGATGGATGTCAACATTCACAAGTTATTGTATTTATTAAAAATTAAATATCTACAAGAAAAATAATTTAAAACAATCC